TTGAGACAGGCTATCATGTAGTCCAGGTGGTTTCTAACTCATTATGTAGCTGAGGATGACCCTAATTTCTGATCTCTCTGCCTCCACCTCCTGAGTGTAGGGATTGCATCACCACACCTATTTTATATGGATGCTGGGCATCAAACCCAAGACCTCCATCATGTTAGGCAAGTACTCTACCAACTGGGCTGTACTCTAGCTCTCTCTTTTCTTTTCTTTTTTTGACATAAGGTCTCACTAGGTAGCCCAACCTGGCCTTGAACTTATGATCTTTTGCTTCAGCTTTCTGACTGCTGGGGTTACAGGCAGGTACCACATCTCACTGGTATGGGCGTGGTGGTGGTAGTTGTTGTTTGTGATAGGATCTTGTTATATTGTTACATTCTGTTGAGTCTGGGTTTTTATCTCAGTGGTTAGAACGCTTGCCTGGCTTATGTAAGGTTCAGGGGTAGCAATGGCTTCTCCAGTTCTTTTACTACTCCTGAGCACCCCAGTATCCCCCAGCTGTTGCCTTTATCCTGCTACATCTGTAAATAGTTACTCACTCAAATATCTTAAAAATCCAGCTGGTATTTCTAGTTATATGATATTCTAGAAGAGACAAAGTTTTGGATACCATATCAGGACAGGAATGGGAAGGGAGAAGAAGATAAGCCCAGTGGGTTTTTAGTACAGTGCGACTATTCTAGATAGTGTTACAATGGTGGACACATGACATCAAATAGTTGTCTAAATCTACAGTGATGTGTAACACTGATAACGACCCCTAATATGAACTAAGGCCTCTAGGTGGGACTGGTCTGTGCATGTTGGTTTATGGGTTTAAGAAAATGTAACTCTGAGGATGGCATTAGCAGTGAGAGAGGATGAGTTTGTGTCCAATTTAATTGAAAAAGATCCCAAACTAAAGTGTCTCAAAAAACAAGACAAAACAAATACCAAGAAACAAAACAAACAAGATACCAAATTCCTGTACCAGATGCTGTGAGCTTCAACTATAAAGTAGAGAGACTCCAAGCAATGTTCATAGGAGCAGGAATTACTTCACTCTCACATAAAATCTTCAGAGATCTCCCATATAAAATGCTTATTAGGGCCAGGGAGGTGGCTTAGCAGGTAAAGGCACTTGCTGCCAAACCTGACTCACACCTGAATTTGAACCTCAGGATCCACATGGTGGAAGGAGAGAATTGACTCTCTCAGGTTGTCCTCTGAACTGCACCTGTGTGCATGTGTGAGCCTCCAGATACACACACACACACACACACACACACACACACACACACACACACGTAAACAAAAATGTAAAAAATGCATATTAAAGTATTGACTTTTGTCATTGGTTGTGGAAAGGATAAAACAATGAAATGTCCCTTCCTTCCTCCCTCCCTCCCTTCCTTCCTTCCTTCCTTCCTTCCTTCCTTCCTTCCTTCCTTCCTTCCTTCCTTCCCCTTAGGCTGTCTCAAACTCTCTTTGTTGCTGAGGATGGCCTTGATTTCCCAGTACTCCTATCTCCATCCTGAAATGCTAGGGTCAGAGGCACGTATCTCTACATCTGACAGGACAGCTCCTTAGTACAAGTGTCTGGATATAATAAGTCTGTAAGTACTATGATCTTCACCTCCTTCCTCTTTCCACATCCCCTACTCACTTTTCTTTTCCATTCTTCTCATTCTTCCTATGTAGAGAATTATGTCTTTAGTTGATAGGTAAACATAGCTTTTAAAAAGTGTTTTAAAAATTTTATTACATTTTTATTAATTGTGTGTGTGTCTGTGTGTGTGTGTGTCTCTCTGTGTGTGTGTGTGTGTGTGTGTGTGTGTGTGTGTGTGTGTGTGTGTGTGTGTACACATGTTACCATATGGGTGTGGACATCAGAGGATCATTAATAGGAGTTGGTCCTCTTTCCACCATATGGTTTCCCAAGCTCAAATCATCAGACTTGATGTCAGGCGTCTTTACCTGCTGAGCCATCTTGGCAACCTTTAAAAACATTTTTATTAGCATACATTGATTACACAGAATGGTTGGTTTCGTATTGCTGTTTTCATAAATATACGAAATGTATTTCAGTCCTATTCACTCCTGTGGTAGTTTGAATGTTATTGGCCCCCATAATCTCTTAGGGAGTGGCACTATTAGGAGGTGGGGCTTTGTTTGAGTGGGTACAGCCTTGTTGGAGGAAGTGTGTCACTGTGGGATAGGCTTTGGGGCTTCCTATGCTCAGGATACCACTGAGTCAGCTGACTTCCTATTGTCTGCAAGCCAAGATGAAGCCAGCACCACATCTGCCTGAAACCTGCTGTACTCCCTATCACGATGATAAGACTGAACCTCTGAAATTGTGAGCAAGCCATCCCAATGAAATGTTTTACTTTATAAGAGTGATGTAGTCGTGGGGTCTCTTCACTGCAATAAAAACCATAACTAAGACAGGAGTTGGTACCAGGAGTGGGGTATTGCTGTGATAGGCCAGATCATATGCTTGTTTGGAGGAATTTGGGCTTTGGTACTTTGGGTTATGAAAGCAGTAGAATGCTTTTAGCACTGATTAATGGGCTTGGAAGGCAGAGGTGGCAAGAGTTATTTGAACTGTTGGGGGCTAACTCAAAAGGTTTCAGAGGGGAAGAATTTAAGTATGTGGCCTAGAGACTTGTCTTGTGATATTTTGGTGAGGAAAGTGGCTTCCTTTTGCCCTTGTCCAAAGAGTCTACCTGAGGCTAAAGTGAAGAATTTTGGATTAATGTAGTTGGCTGAAGGTGGACCTTTCTGTTCTGCCAGCCTGCTCCCAAATAACCACACAGAGACTTAATATTAATTACAAATGCTCAGCCCATAGGTAGGCTTGTTTTTAGTTAGCTCTTATAACTTAAATCAACTCATTTCTATTATATATGTGCTGCCCCGAGGCTCATTTACCTCATGTACAAATTTCCCACCCTGCTTGCTCTGCGTCTCATGGCATATCCTCTGACTCCACCCTTCTTTTCCCCAGTGTTCTCTCTGTCCCCCAAATCCTGCCTAGCCATTTTATTTATCAGCTTTATTGAAAATGAGAGCAACACATTTTCACGGTGTACAGAAAGATTGTTCCACACCAGTTACAGGGGGAAATCTCAGAACAGCCTATTACAGACTCTGTCATGTGGTCTTTAGTGATAACTCTAATGAAGATTTATAATGAAAAGGAGTGATCTGAGCAGGGTAAATTACAAAATGGAAATTTTGAGGAGAAAAAGAGCCCCAGGGAAGGCAGAGGCTGGCAGATCTCTGAGTTTGAGGCCAACCTGGTCTACAGAACAAGTTTCAGGAGAGCCAAGCTTAGGCAGTGAAGGACAGAAAGCTGGTGAAGATGTAATTGAATGAGGGGACTGTGTTCCAACCCTAGCAAGCAGCAGAACTTGGCAGCTTCCACTACCTGATTCTGAGTTTAGAGTTAAGGAGAGAAGAAAGGAGTTATGAAATAAAGCTGCTGAGGCCAGATATGTGTCAGGGGTGTCCTTGAATGGAGGCCTAGTAAAGAGGCCATTGTGTGAAGTTGAAGCCTGGATTGCCTTGGAGAACCCAAGATGTTAGAGATGCCAGAGTCATGGGATACTTGCCCAGGAGAGCTGCTAACAGGGAGTGGAACCAGTCGAACAGAAAGAAATGTGTTTCAGTCAACAAAACTAAATGGAGTTAGAGCTATGGAGAGTGTTTTGACATGAGAAATGGAGATGCAGAGTTTGAAGTTTGCTCAGCTGTTTTTTTTTTTTTGGTCTTGCTTTGGTCCAGTATTTCCTTACTGTGCTCCTGTCCCTGTGTTTTGGAATGGTAATGTATATCCTGTGCCATTGTATGTTGGAAGTATGTGATCTGCTTTTCGATTTTCATTTTTACAAGAGATTACAGTTAAGACATTGCATGAATCTCAGAAGAGACTTTGCACTTTAAAAAGTTGTTGAAACTGTGATAGCCTATGGGGACTTTTGAAGTTGGACTAAACGCATTTTACATTATGATATTGTTACAAGCTTATGGGGACCAGGGAGTGGAATGTGGCAGTTTGAATGTAATTGATCCCATAATCTCATAGGGAGTGGCACTATTAGGAGGTGGGGCTTTGTTGAAGTGTGTATGGCCTTGTTGGAGGAAGTGTGTCACTGTGGGGATAGGCTTTGAGGCTTCCTATGCTCAGGATACCACTGAGTTAGTCGACTTCCTGTTGCCTGAATGCCAAGATGTAGCCAGCACCCCATCTGCCTGCATGCTTTCTGCCATGATGATAATGGACTGAACCTCTGAAACTGTAAGCGAGCCATTCCAATTAAACATTTTCCTTTATAAGAGTTGTCATGGTCATGGTGTCTCTTCACAGCAATAAAAAGCCTAAGACAACTCCCATTACCTGTTCTTGCCCCCTCCCACTCGAACTAATCCCCTTCATCTTCTCAACTAGTCCCACTTAACATGGCTTTTTTATTTAGAAATAATTTATTAATTTGTGTGTGTGTGTGTGTGTGTGTGTGTGTGTGTGTGTGTGATACTACGTGTGTGGAGGGCAGATAACAACTTATGGAAGTTGGTTCTCTCTTTCTACCATGTAGGTCCCAGAACTGAACTCATGCTGGGTGGCAGGAACTTCTACCTTCTGAGCCATCTTGCTGTCTCAAACAAAACAAAACAAAACAAAATTTATCTGTAAGTCTATTGCCCGCCAGTGTTGGGAGGTGTTATCTAGGTGGTAGGTGACCAAATTAGTGAGGGAAGACAGATAAGAGAGCAGACACTGGAGGCAGAGGCTCAGGGTTTGAAGAGTGTTTTACACGAGTGAGCACTTGCCTAGGCACTGTCTGGGGCCAGTGAGTCTAAGATTGTTTTTGCAGTGTTGGCTGTATTAGTTACTTGTCTGGTTGGTGTAGTAAGATACCTTAACAGTAACAACAAAAACAACAAACAACAAACTCAATGAAGGAATAGTTTACTTCCAGGGCACAGTCCATCATGGAGGAGGTCAGGGCAACAGGAGCTTGAGGAAGCTGGTGACATTGTATCTACAGTCAGGAGGCTGAGGCAGATGAACAGTGCTTGTTCCCACCCCTTCTCTCTCTCTCTCTCTCTCTCTCTCTCTCTCTCTCTCTCTCTCTCTCTCTCTCTCTCTCATATTGGTCAGACAGTTAGAGCAGGTCTTCCCTTTCAGTTAACCCACTCTAGATAATGCCCTAAAACTTGTCTTTTAGGTAATTTGAGATCCTGTCAAGTTGACAATCAATATCCAATATCACAAATATATATTGTCTGTTGGAAATGATGAGAGCATTTACTAGGCCAAATGCTAAGCAGGTCTTCATCTTTTAAAGAGCCAATAGTGGAATCCTGGGGGACTGATGTATCTCTCCTGGTAGCATCAGTGTGAAGGGGTGATGCTGCAGAGGTCTTTTTAGGATAGATTCCATGGAAGGCATTGGGCCACGCTGGATTATTAGCAGGACCTGCCATTTCCTTAGCGCTGCATAGCAACCACTGATCTGGGAAGCAAGGAAAAGACTGAGATTAAACCCAAATGCCTGAAAAAACAAAACCTAGAAGTATATGACATAGCAAATTAAGCAGTGGGAAAGATACAGGCTCAGCTGAGGCCTGAGGGCTTCTGTGACTGTAGGGGTTTGTCCTCACAGCAGCAGAGGTTTCAGGAATGGCTGTAAATTACAAGCTGAAACCTACTCCATTCTGCTGGTACCAGTAGCGGGCTGACTACTTTACCATGGGTCTCATCCTCACCACTACACTGTCAGGCATGTACCACAACTCACCTTTACAGCAGTGAAGGAGATGCTGAACGCTCATGTTCATGCATCTGGTAGCAAGGGAGGAGCTGGTGCTCCATGGTCCACCCTCCAACCCCCCACGCGCCTTTCTTTAATTTGTTTGTTTTAGTCATTGTCTGACTGTGTAACCTTTTAACCCAGTTACTATCAGACCAAGTTGGCCTTGAACCTAGAGGGGTCTTCCTACTTCCAGAGTGCTTGGGTTAAAGATGTGTGCTACTGTTATGCCCAGATCATGAGGACCCCCAAAAGACCACCACAGAGACTGAATCCAGCATGTAAAAGCAAAGAGCCTTCATTCTCTTCAAGCTCTGAGCTTGGTCTCTCTGTCTGTCCAATGCAGTGGTGAGAGCAGAGAGCCGTGAGCCCAGGCAGGGTAGGGTTTTTTATCATAGCAGAGGTTGGGGTGAGGGGATGTCCAGGGTTCAGGACCCTGATTGGCTGACAATTGTCTAGTTGTATCAGTAAAACAAAAATAGGTGTGTGTTAGACTCAAGGACATCTGGCTACCTTATCTAATGGTTGGAATGTTTGGGATGTTAGGTACTTCCTCATCCTTGGGTGGTATCAACTTAAGGCCTTTCCTGGATCTGGGTGTTGCCTGCCACTAAGCCTGTCACAGAAGCTGTATGTAGGCCCCTAAACCTGTCATGGCTGCTGTGTGGTCCAGCTATTTTGGGGCCCTCTACACTACCATGCCTAGTGTTTTTTTTTTTTTTTTTAAGAGAAGGTCTCATGGAGCCCAGGCTGGCCTCAAAATCACAGTGTAGCCAAGACTAGCTTTGAACTCCTAATCCTCCTACCTTTGTCTCCTAAGTGCTGAGACTATAGGTATGAACAATGCTCAGTGAGGACTAGGTTTTAATCTAATAACTCCCTACCCATAATGGCTCTCTAGTCCACCAGTTTTAATATATTTTGCCTTCTACTGTAGTTAGTTTAGACATGTCTTACCTTTTCTGTGTTTTTAAGATCTTTAAAAAAATTTGTGTGTGTGTGTGTGTGTGTGTGTGTGTGTGTGTGTGTGTGTGTGTGTGTAGTTGCCTGGGAAGGCCAGAAGAGGATAGGATGTCAGATCTCCTGGAACTGGAGTTATAAGCAGTGAACTGCCCGGTGTGGGTGCTGAGAACCGAGCACAGGTCCTGATGGGCTGTCTCTTCAGCCCCATGTCTTACTTTTCCAATGAAATCAGAATATTTATGAACACAGTAACATGTCTAATTTGCCTTTTAAATGTTCTGAGTATTCTTCCCTTGGAGGCCTTCTCACTCGTGGATGTTCTTTCTTACTTTTCCTTAATAAATCTTCTCTCAAAAATAATATAAATGAACAGAGAGATAAATAGATAAATAAAGTGTTGTCCTGCCAAACATGATAGCATGGGCCTGTCATCCCAACTCTTTGGAAGGCTCAGGTAGAGGACCGCTGTCCTAGCCCTGCTTAGGCCCACTAACTCTGAGCTTTATCTCCGGGCCCTGTATCTTTTCTTGAAGAATCATTCCTTTTTATTGTGGCCTTCAGGTACTCAGATCCCAGTGGTGTATTTCTACTCATCAGCCTCTTCATTAGGTGCTCTTCTCACTTCTGTGACTGTGGGGGGCCCAAAATAGCTTGACCACACAGCTGCCATAACAGGCTTACTGACAGGTACTACCTGGTCTCCAGGAAAAGCCATAAACTGACCCCACCCAGGGAGGGCCAACATCTAAGGGAAAGTACCTGACATTCCAAATGTTCCAACCATTAGATGAGATTAGATAAGATCACCAGATGTCCCTTAGCCTAGCACACACCTATTTCTCTTTTACCAAGATACCCCTAGACAAATGTCAGCCAATCAGGGTCCTGAACCCTAGAAATCCTCTCACCCCAATGTCTGCTATGATAACAACCTTACTCTGCCAAGGCTTGGGGCTCTCTGCTTTCACTACTGAGTCAGACAGATGGAGAGTCCAAGCTGGAGTTTGAATAAAGGCTCTTTGCTTTTACATATGGGATTTGGTCTTTGTGGTGGTCTTTTGGGGGTCCCTGAAATCTGGGCATAACATGAGCAAATACCTGAAGAAATCTAAGGAGGGAAGGACTTATGCCAGATTCACACTGAGGAAACTGTGTGCCGTGGTGGGAAGGCTCCAGGAAGGGAGTAGCTTGCAGCTGCACCAGTGGTCGATTACTCAGGCCTGGTGGATCAGGAAACAGAAAGAGTGTGGAAAGCTGCCCTTCAGCCGACTTTAAGGGCAATATGAAGGCCTAGACTTGACTTTACAGACTCCATCTTAGGTAAGGGCTATCATTTTAGACCGTCTGCTGTACTCAGTTCTAGGAAGGACCTCAAGAACTTGCCATGACAGCTTGAACAGATACAGGGCAGTATGCTCCTGCAGACATTCTGTCTGAAGTTTATGGCCCTTGAAGATAATCCAGATAATCCTACTGAGCAGCCTAGATAATCCTGCTCAGCAAGCCATGGTTCCCCACCAAAAGTCCCACCCAATAGTTTCAAATGTAGTTTCACACCAAAAGTCTAGACCAATAGTTTCAGAAAATCACCTTGCTCCCTATCCCTTCTACCCAATCCCAAGATGCCAAAGCATGTAATTCCTGGTTTGCGGTTTTTCCCTGTAAAAACTCTCTACCCCTGGGCTCGCTGCCACTGCCGCATTTCCCTTCATCTGCCCTGCGGTGGCCCAGGTTCGAACCTGACAGTAAAAGGACCCTTACGTGCTTGCGTCGGAAACTGGCTCTTTGGTGGTCTCTGGGGGTTCTGCTAAATGGGCACAACACTGACTTCTGTTTTCCCCCTTTCTCTCAGTCCTGGCCCTCTGCCCACAGCATGGCGCCATACCTCCAAGGCAAGCCTTCTTCTTCAGCTAAGAGAAACACCCTCAAAGGTATGCTCAGGGACACATTGTGTCTCCAAATCCAATCGGATTGGTGAAGATCAGTCCTCAAGCCTGGTTTTTGGCTTGTTTGTAACAGCAGTGCACAGGATCAAACCTGAGGCTTCCTGCTTCACACTCTCTGCCAGGGAGCTATTTCTCCAGCTCTCCAACCCTCCAGAGATGATCCTGTTTCACACATACAGCCTTTTCCATTTCTGAAGTTTTAATTTCACGTTCCTCACCTCCCATCCCCTACCCTCCCACCCCTCACCCTGGCTTCCTCTTGAGAATATTTCCCCTCCTTGGTTGAGAGGGATATTGTTTTTCTCTCTTTATCCTCTCTCTGCTACCTGTCCAATTCATGCAGCTATTGGGAGCTTCTGGATTTACCTGCATGCCCTTAAATTTGTTAGAAAGAAATCTGGGAGGAAAAGGAGATCAAGAGAGCAAGGAGAGGAGGATTCTAGGGGCCATCCACCAACCAGCCACGGGGTAAGAGTCAAAGTAAGATATACAGAAGTAAGAAAAGGAAAAAGCCCAGAAGCAAAGGTAGATGGGATAATTTAAAGTTAAGAAAAGCTGTCAAGAAGCACAAGCCAAGCTAAGGCTGGTCCTTTATAATTAAGAATAAGCCTCCACGTGTGATTTATTTGGGAGCTGAGTAGCGGATCCCCAAGAGAGTAAAGAGCAAAAACAAACAAACAATAGGGAACTGTGAGCCTTTCTGTTCATGGACCTCCTTCCTGGATCATATGTTCCCATCAGGATTCAGGCCACGTCTTAGCAGAGAGAGCCTTAAGATAGATACCAGACTCCCTCCTAATCATGATATGTAGGGCTATGAGCCAGTTCTAATTTAGATTATGAAGATAAACCATCAGTCTGCTACAGACCCAGTGATCATGAGGCAATTCATACAAGTTAGAGAGACACAAGGAATGACTACTTTCATTAAAAAATTACTAAGTATGCCATAGAAAAGTGTTTTTGTTGCTGAAAACAGGTCATCTAGGTTTTCCTGGACCATTTTGTAGTTGAAAAATGCCAAATGCCTAGGATAGTCTCTGGCACATAGTAGGTGGTCAATGTTTGTTGAATGAAATCACAACTTCAAAAAAAAAAAAATCTAAGTTTGTTGTTTCAGTATAGCCAAGAAGAAATTAGCAGAAGATAAAAAATATCTTTTTTACATGGAATTCCTGCCCCTGGCAATGCTGGGGAACTCAGTGAGAACTTAAAAATTATTGGCTTCAACTAGGCCTGGTAGTGCAGACCTGTAATCCTAGCCATGTAGGAAGCTGAAGCAGTAGGATTACAAGGTCAGGGTCCTCAAGGACTACAGAATTATTTCAAGGTTACATTCCATGAGCAGGTTCAGCAGGTAAAGGCACCTATGAACAAGCCTGATGACCGGAGATCAATCCCAACCCCCAAGGGTGGAAGGACAGAACTAACTCCTGAAACCTATGGCATCCATACCCACATACACACAACCACAATAAATGAACACTAAAGAGAATTAAAATAAAAAGTGAAAAGAAGACTGGGAGTGTGTCTAAGAGGGAGAGCCCTTGCCTAGCCATATGTGGAGGCCTAAGATGAATCCTCAGTAGCACAAAGAAAAATAATGGTTTCAACTTGTAATATTTGCCTTTGGAACTAAATGTAATCCACGGATTTGGTAAGCAGTAGTACCCAAAAGATGGAACCAAAAATTAGTATGTCCATATTCTCCCAGGTAGTTTAATGAGTACTGTTGGGGAATCTTCTCATTGCCTAGCACATGGGGAGCGCTGAGCTCACCTCTGATACAGTTCTGGATGGCAAGGGATCAGTGGATGAGACAAAGGCCTCATTGGCTTCCTATTGCCGGATTTAGTCTTGGAATTGTGCTGGTTTTGTATTTTCTAGTTCCTTTCCTGAGACTTGGAGAAATTTCCTTAAACATCCATTTCCAGCTGCCTGTGTCTTCTTTTCTCTTTGAAACTATAACAGACAAACTCTCAAAGCAGAACACCTGGGAGAGCTGGGAGATTCCAGTGCAAGTGTCCAGTTGCATTAGGAACTCATAAGAGAGCTGGGAGATTCCAGTGCAAGTGTCCAGTTTCATTAAATACTCATACTAAATTCAAAACAAACACCAACATCATCCCCTCTCACCCACACAGTACTGGGTGCTGAACCTCGAACCTGCTAGGCAAGTGCTTTACCACTGAGTTACATCACAGCCCTTTTAAAATTTCTTTTGAGTCAAGGTCCCGAGTGTTAGGGTCCTGGAGAAGTTCCACAAAAGACCACCATCCTCGTATGCAATCAGTAAGAGCATTTATTATCTTGAGAAACCTTCAGCATGCTGGGGCCTGCCATCCCACAAGGCAAGGCGGCTAAGACCCGCTCCCCCTCCCAGAGGGAAGTGCGGGTTCCTTTTAAGTCTAACTAAGGAGAGTGTCCAAGGAAGTTAGTTCATCTTATATGATTGGCTTATGCAAATGACAATCATGTTAGTAACTTCTAATTGGCTAGGGTTAGTTGGAGTTTAGTCAGGGCTACAATTTCCATATTTGAGCAGGCCTGGACAAGTCCCAGACTTTGTCTTTATTTGGTTATTATCTTAAGCTGTTGATTATGGGGGCTGGCTCAGTGGCCCAGGCCTGTTACATCCTATCTCCCTTGTCCCTGTGTCAGAGACACCAGTGATTGATTGCCCTTTGTTCGTGGATCTTCTTTAGAAACTGCTTGTTTGGTTCCAAAAATCCTGGACCAAGTCTTTGTTCTTAATTGAGTGATTAGGACAGGCTGTCATGATATTTGCTTGGCCCTCTCACTGAGAAGTTGACCACACTATCTTTGACCTTGTTCTATAGTCTAGACAACCTTGAACTTTTCTTCCAGGCCTGCACTCAGTAGTAAGTCAATCCACAGACCTGTGCCAGCAGTCCTGACTGCTTTCAATGACTTGTTACCTGTACATTTACTGTAAGCACTATTATGTTTTTTAGAGACAAGATCTCAATATGAATCCCCAGCTGACCTGAAGCTCATATGTAGACAAGGCTGGCCTCAAAAGCACAGAGATTTGCCTGTCTCTGTCTCCCAAGTTCTGGGTTTAAAGATGTCTTCCACCATGCCCAGCTATTCATTATTTGCTGTTTGCTGGTTTTGCTTTGCTAGGATTCGAATTCAAGACTTGCATATGCGAGGCACCTGTTCATTCTCTAGTTACGGTTTTAATGGTTGCATCTCTTGAGGCTTAGAGACTCTTGTTTAGGGGAGTGAGGCAGAATCCTAAATCCTGATACAGTTACTTAACTATTTTCAGTGCAAAAAGGTGAGTTTGATGGCAGACATTTACCTCATTTTAGAAAAATTCAACACTCAGGATGCTAAAGTAGGAGGGGTGTGAGTTTGAGGCCAGTTAGGGATGGCTACGTAGTAACACATTAAGGCCAGTGTAGTGTGGAGGTATACACCTGTAATCCCAGCACTTGGGAGGCAGAGGCAGAAGGAATGTCGTAAGTTGAGGCCAGCCTTGCCTACATAGTGAGTTCCTGGCCAGCCTGGGCTACCCAGCAAGATCCCCATCTTAAACAATAACAGAAGTAAAATGAAGGCCTGTGGCACATACCTGTAATCTTAGCATTTGGGAGGTGGAGGCAGGAGGGTCAGGAGTTCAAGCTCATTCTCTGCTAGTTTGAGGCAAGCCTAGGCTTCATGAGACTCTGTCTGAAAAAAAAAAAAACAAAATAAATCAGTTAATTAAATGTGAATAAAACAGACACATGCAGCCATATACCTACTTATATGTGTATACTACAATGCATGTTTGAATGTATGGAAAAACTATACAGAAAACTGTGGGACCACAGGGAAGTTACCTGTCTTCTGAAGGGCTCCTGAGAAGCATGTGAAGGTGGCAGGGCATGGACTTAGCACCCACAAGGTCTCCAGCACCAAAAAGAAAAAAGAAAGAAAGGAAAAAGAAAGAAGTGATAGTTGTCAGAGCGACAACGAGTGTCCTGAGTCATACCTACAGCCCCAGAACTCCAACACTAAGGAGGCTGAGATAGGTGATTGCAAGTGTGGGGCCAGCCTGGGCTACCGAGATCCTGTCTCAATAAAACTCATACCCCCAAAAGCCCTCTCACTGAAGTCTGTTTCCCCCAAACTCCGTAACTTCTACAAGCAGCCATCAAAATCACAATGAATTCCTTTTCTAAAAGCTGAAAGGCCTGTCTCAAAGCTTGTGTTCCGTAACAAATTTTTGGCCTAGTGCAACTCGAAGACCTGAAGTTGTGAATAATTTCTTCTTTGGACTTTGTCTTTCCCTGGCACACACTTAAGGAACAGACCTCTTGCCGATGCCTTGTCAGCGCCAAGGGTATTTTGGACGGGCTTCTTTGCGCTGGAAGCTTCCAGCCAGGCTTTGAACTTCACTGGCAGCGTGTGAAAATCTCCCTGAGCAACCCAACGGACCTTGCAGTGCTTAGATGTGGTCCTTCCTGCTGCCTCTTGGCAGTCTGCGGAAGCCGCTGCAGTGGGCCATGTGGCCACCAGGTGGAGCTAAGCACAGCGGTGCAGGCTGGAGACTAGGAAGCCAGCTCTGGGTTACCATCGTCCTTAGAAAGAAAGCCCCGTTTGAAACTTGAACTAGGCAATCTGGGAACTCCTGGTGACATTTCTTCAGGAGCTGGGCCCAAGTACACACACAACTCACTTTTCTTGGCCCGTCTTCTCACTTGTCATACGTTGTTTTGCGTTGAATAAAATCAAACCGACGCAGGTGTGGGGGCGAACTTCTGTAACTGCAACACTAGGGAGGTGGAGGAGGAAGGATCAGATCATCCTCAGAGAAAGAGCTAGGTGAGTTTGCGGCCAGCCTGGGTTACATGGGATCCTGCCCTGTACACTAAAACAAACGGAACCCAAAATACAGCGAATCAGACTGAACCAGGTGGTGCACGCCTTTGATCGCACCCCTGGAGAGAGAGGAAGAATGATGGATCTTAAGTTCCTGGCGACCCTGGTTTAAACAATCAGTTCCGGGGTTACACAGCACTATCCTGTCACAGCAGAAAAAGAACAAATCAAAACAAAAGCCAGGGAGTTGCTCCACGGTCCACAGTACCCCATTATCACACAGGGCAGTGCCCCTAAGAGACAACTACAGAACTCTTTGTCCTTGGTGCTCATAGTGGGGAGGCTGAGGGAACTGAGGATTTCTCTTGCTGGGATGAAACACAATGACCAAAAGCAGCTTGGAGAGGAAAGGGTTTATTTAATTTACAGCACTGTAGTCCACCATCCAGAGAAGTCAAGGCAGGAAGTCAAGGCAGGGACATGGAGGCAGAGACTGATGGAGAGGCCACGGAGGAATGCTCCCCATGGCTTGCACAACCTGTTTTTAAACAGGACCATCTGCCAAGAGGTGGTATCACCCTCAGTGAGCTGGGGCCTCCTATATCCAGACACTACCCCACAGACTTGCCTACCGGCCCATCTGATGGAGGCATTTTCTCAATTAAGATTCCTCTTCCCAGATATTTCTAGTTTTGTGTCAAGTTGATTAAAAAAAAAAAACAAAAAAACAGCAACAACAGAAAACATAAACTGTCACTGAGAATTGCCCAGGGTGGCTCCCCAGGGACTGTGAATGTAGGCTTCTTCTTAGAAGGAGGGGGTTACGCTGCTTGCTCATTTTCCTGCTAACAGGCTATTTAGGAGGACATGGAATAGGGAAGTGCCCCCTACTAAGCCCCGTAGCCTCTGTGAGAACAGTGCCATCCGTGAGCAGCACTCTTAGAGGTGGAGCACTGGACTGAGAGTCTGTTGGGCTGAGGCTGTTGCCCAGTGAAGGCACCTGCAGAGCATTCTAGAAGCTCTGGGTTTGATCTCCAGCTCTGAAATAAAAGAAACCCAAGAACACATTTGACTTAGCTGTCTGTCAGCCCTGAGGGTTTCTAGCTGCTATTGAGGCTGGGAGAGGTAAAGTGAGGTAAAGCATTTAGTAAAGATTGGGAGCAGTAGAACCAAGTTGCAAGCATGCCTGCATGATACTGGAGTACATGCTTTACCCACCAGACCATACCAGGGACCAGTACTCAGATCCACCGAGAAGTAGAATGGACAGGGATGAAGAGAAGACTGTGTCCGGTGCCTCTGTGGCACCGTTCCTTCTTTTCTTTGTGTGTGTGTGTGTGTGTGTGTGTGTGTGTGTGTGTGTGTGTGTGTGATGACTGAACCCAGGACGTTACAGATGTAGGCAAGCATTCTATTTTTGACCTGTACTCTTAGCTCTGTTTGGTTTTCTAGTGTATTTTGTTGTTGTGGAGCACAGTCCTCCTGCCTCAGTCACATCTATTTTAGTTATATCCTTATGAGAGCAGCTGGTAGAAATTCAGATCCAACAGGGAGTGGAGAGAGAGAGAGAGAGACAGAGAGAGACTTAGGGTTTCTATTGCTGTGAAGAGACACCATGACCGTGGCAACTCTTATAAAGGAAAACATTTAATTGGGGTTGGCTTACAGTTTGGAGGTTTAGTCCGTTATTGCCATGGAGGTAGCATGACCGCACGCAGGCAAGCATGGTGCTGGAGAAGGAGTTGAGAGTTTGACATCTTGATCCTAAGGCAGCAGGAGCAATTTGGGCCATAGTGGGCATAGCTTGAGCAAAGGAGACCTCAAAGCCCACCCCCACAGTGACACACTTCATCCAGCAAGGCCACATCCAACTCCAACAAAGCCAGATAGTGCCACTCTCTATGGGGGCTATTTTTTTTTTCAAACGACCACCAAGAAAGAAAGAGCGAAATTCAGAACAACTTCAGGTCTGGCTGTATCGAGGCACTGTAAAGACAACAGCTGCCGAAGCCGAAGCCCCCTGAACCCTCTTACCTTCGACAGGGTAATCTCTCAAGGGTTCTTAGTTATATGGATGACGCAATCCCAGCATTCAGTGCCATTAGCTGTTTCTTTACCCACATAAAGACTCAACATCATAGACTATCAATAGCTAAAGTGTAATCTTAAGAGCCAGAGGCCCTTGCTTGAGTGTCTACCTTGAGCTAGCATCTTTAGCTGGGGTGGCTGTCTAGTGACCGTCTTTGTCCCCACAGTCTTTAGGTTACAAGTACACCACTGTACCCAGCTTTAAGTTGGTGCCAGGAATCTGAACTCAGGTCCTTGTGGCTTGCAAAGCAAGCACTTGAGCCCTAAACCAGCTCCCTAGCCCTGAAATCATAAGATTTTAGAAATAAAAGATCCTTATTTAATCATCTACTTCCTAGTGAAGCCCAGAGACAATAATTCACCTAAGGTCACATGGCCACTGAGTCTTCAAATGCAAGCCAGGAACTTTGGTCTTTGTCTTACTGTTTGTAGACAGGCTCTCCCTATGCTCTGGCTGGTGTGGAACTCACTATGTAGACCAGGCTGACCTTAAACTTCTAGAGATCTTCTGCCTCTAGGGTTACAGGTGTGTGCCAACATGCACAGCCCAGGTTTAAAAACTTAAAAATTAAAAAAAAAAGTTTATTTATGTATTTGTGTGTGGGTAAGGAACATTGCTCTAGTGTGTATGTGGGGGTCAGAGGCAGCTCTTTGGGGAGTTGTTCTCTCCTTCTACAGTGTGGATCTCGGCTTGCATTACTGGGTAGCAAGTACCTTTACTTGCTGAGCCATGTCATTGGCCCAAGGTAAGAACTTTTAAATTCAAGGCAAGGCTTTTCTTCCCAAGCAGCAAGCCCCTTTGATGTTTTCCACACTCTGAACTACATAACTACATCGGGGATGTGTTTTCTACCTTTTCCATTCTCATAGGAGTCCTCCTTTCCCTTCTCTCCCCTCCCTCTCTTTATCTCCTTCTTGGGCTCCTCTTCCTTTTTTTTTTTTTTTTTTTTGTTTGTTTGTTTGTTTTTCGAGACAGGGTTTCTCTGTGTTGCTTTGCGCCTTTCCTGGATCTCGCTCTGTAGACCAGGCTGGCCTTGAACTCACAGAGATCAGCCTGGCTCTGCCTCCTGAGTGTTGGGATTAAAGGCGTGCACCACCACCGCCCGGCTCTCTTCCTCCTTCTTGAGACGGAGCATCTCTTCATAGCCCAGGCTGGCCTTGAACTTGTGGTGCTCATCCTGAATTCAGTCTCCTTAGTGCTGGGATGGATGGTTGCTACAGAATGATGAGGAACGTGTCTTCCGGGAGCAGTGTGCCCTCCCTGGTTCTTCCCCTTTTGCTGAGTGGGAGCTAATGATCTCCCTTACCGAGTCAGTGAGTCAGTCGAGATCTGCTGTCTAGGTCACTCTGTGGCGGAGTGACTAACTTGGTCTAGGGCAGAGGTGTCCTGAGTTTACATGGTGTCACTACAGAGGTCACTAGGCTGCTAATCACACCAACCAGAACCTACATAGTGTCTCTCACCCATTCTAGCACCTGGCCAGACGATGGATAATCCCTGAGAACAATGCAAAATGAATAAAACATAGGTTTGAGAAGTGAGATTTCAGGACCCCCACCTGACTGACTTATTCATTCAAAATGGCCTTTCTTACTTGTTTGCTTTCTAAATTGTGTGTGTGTGTGTGTGTGTGTGTGTGTGTGTGTGTGTGTGTTTGGGTGTATATACCAGTACTTTGTGCATGGTTGTGTGTCCACATGTGGGAATATGTGTAGAGGGCAGAGATTGACACTGATTATCATTCTCAACTGCTCATTACTCTCTCTCTCTCTCTCTCTCTCTCTCTCTCTCTCTCTCTCTCTGTGTGTGTGTGTGTGTGTGTGTGTGTGTGTGTGTGTATCTGTATCTGTGTATGTATGTGTGTCTATCTGTCTGTCTATCTATTTTGGTTTGTTGTTTTGAGACAGGGGCTTTCTATGTAGCCCTGTTCTGGAACTCGTTATGTAGACCAGGCTGGCTTTGAACTCACTTGCTGTGGGTGGCACCATCCCTGACAGGTGGGTCTGGGTTGTATAAGAAAGGTAGCTTGAAGGGACACCAGCCCATTGGAGCATGTGGCTCTGGCAGGCCTTGCCCTTCTCCCCCATTCCCTCTGCCCTTGCTGAAAACCCATTAGATTACATTCCTGAAGCTAGCCACCAAGCCTAGTCCCTTATTTGTCCACTTCCTCTTCCTGAGGCTGACCACCAAGTTCCGGCAATCAGAAACCCTCTTTGGTTCCCCTAACTAACATGTCCAGTTGAAATTAAACACCTCTTCCTAACACAGGGTTTCCCCCTTTACCTTTATAAACTGCCATTTGCCTGTGTGCCATGTCTGTCTCCCCTCTATCCAGAGGCAGTCGTTTTTCCCGCTGGGACAAAGACCCCTTTCCCCTTTCATTGTCCCCTCCCCCTTCTCTCTAGTCTCCTATCTCCTTTACCTCCGCATCCTAGCCCATTCTAACACAGACTTCCTATTTTTCTCCTCTTAAAAAATTACACCTGCAAGGTCATTTGCTGCTGTTTTCTGCCCGAGAAACTTTTTACTTTAACTTTTCTTCCCCACTTAATAAAGGATCTCTCCATGAAAACAGGTGTTTGGGTATGGTTTGTGCCTAGTGCGGTGTCCAGGAGGAAGCCCCCGCCTTTGGGGCGTCTCCTCACAGCCGAGCAAGCCAGTAGGTTTGCTGCTTCGGTTCCTGCCTCCAGATTCCTGCCCCGAGCTACCGCCTGGCCTGCTACATGAAGGAAGTTTTATCGAAGCGACAGATAAAATAAAACACAAACTCGGACAAGCAAGCACTCTAGCA